TTTCGGAAGATTTCATGCTTCGAGGCTGTTTCATTTAAACTTTTTAAAATAACCATAGTTTCATGATCACTCATCTATTTAATGCTTTGATCTCACCCTAGCTATTTTTATTCATCCTTGAATAACAGGGGAGGTTTTATTTCAGTTTCTAACGTTTGGTTTCCTTGGTCATGCGATCAGATTACTAATCAAGACTTGCGCGCATTTGTTTGTTTTTTTTTTCCACGTGTAATCTGCTAAAAAAATAATTTTATAGCCTTCTTTTCGCTTTAACGTAGATGTTAAGGATATCGAACAAAAGAACAGTTTTTTGATTAGATCAATTATCAATTACTTTGTGTGCCTAGTTACGATCGTAGTTACAATGTTTATCTTTTTCCTATTGGTTTGTAATCGGATCTTTTAGCGTCACCACGCGCATATAAAGGCTAAGTTAGCGTCCCTTTAAGCCAGAGTTTCGCTAGATTTCGCCTTGAATAGCAGTACCTTCGTTCTTTCGTTCTAAATCTTTGGCACAAGCGGGACCGATATGTAAGTAATTTTGTTAGTTTTATTTCAATGTGTTTAAGTTTAGTTTTACACCTTGGGCGATAACGCACATTTGTACTGTGTTGTACAATAGTACAATTAATTATCTTGAAATTAAAAGAGTAATTTGAAAGAACTAGACGCTCAGACAGCAACGCCCACATTTTAGTCTTTGGGCTGTTAATCAGCCGCAAATGTTCATCGTGTAGCCGATCTTTGAATCTCGAGTAGTTTTAATTTAGCCTTTTATGATTTGTTTATGTTAATTTACGTTAATTGTTGTTATTTTAATCGCATTATCGATATAGGCACGTAAAGCGTTTCTTTCATGCCTTTCGCACCAATTCAAGTAGATTAATGTATTCGTTATAATATTCTTGTAATTTCAGTTTACGATCGTGATCGTCTTTGTGATCGTCTTCGTCTTTGTCTTCGTGATCTGAATAAACACCGTTAACCGTCATCTTGGTTTTCGTGGTTTTACTACGACCTGTAAAATAGTCCCGACATCAGCGACACTTAGCAAACACGCCTTAGCGACACCACTCGAAGTTTCGTCTTTCGTCGCAAGCGTCACAGTAGAAAATGACACAGTTCGCACGCAAATTTCTAGACTTTCCTGTTTGAAGATTTAAAATCCAAATAATCTAACAAAGAGTTGAAGATTTGCTTTTAAACAATTTGACTTCGGCTTTGATATGTCTGTAAAATGAATACGTCTACGCCACCATGGCGCTTTGACGTGAAACACCCTACAGCAATTCTCCTTTCAAGCTACTTTACATTTTCTCATATATCATTTTGGAGAATTTGGTTTTTGATCAAAATAACAACCTAAAGCTGATAGGCAAATTTACCTAAGCATGTTTGGTTGAGTTTTTGTCTGAATAACTGCAAACAGTGCAACTGTCCATATACTTCTTTTCATTTCTAATTACGGCGAAAATATATATATTTTTTATTGCTTTATGATATAAGTGGGTGAAATATTGAATGTATAGATCGTTGTTAATCAGTTCAGGTTAGGTTAGGAGCAACTCATTGTTTCATCGCTAGAGCTTTGATTCGCTCCTGCAAAGACTATCCACATTCATCTGGTAACTTCAAGAGTAATAAACGACGACTCACGCCTGAGAGTCTCCTGATTGAAACGAATATTCATGGCGCCTCCTGAAGTTAAGCGCTCTTCAATTTGATTGAGCAAAGTAAATAAGTGGATTGAGGATGCGCAAAACCTTTGAATCGACCTCACCTTTTATTATTTTAAACACTGAATAGGCTACATTTGAACATGTACGTAACAAAGAGAGCAAGCAATTAAAAATTAAAGTAATGAGTCTCAGTAATAAAAATTAGATGGAATTGGATTATCAGGACTTAAACCCGTTTGTATGTTTAAGGGAAACATAACAATTAACAACCATTTCGCTTGAGATACGAAAACACGAATATCATGCCATGTGCTTTCCTAACCGGATCGATGGGGAACAGGCTATTTACAAATCGTTAAAGCCATTTTCTCTGTCGTTCGCAAAGAGAGAAAGTAATAGAATTACCAGTATTACTTTTTGATTGAGTGTCATGAAACCAAAGCCAGTTAATACATCGGCCAATCAGAGGAGAGGAAATTATCTCAAAGAACAGATACGACTTCAAAGTAAAAACAAGTAAACTGCATAAATCGCGCGAACACGCGAGCGTACAAGCAGGGTGGGGAGATGTTAGATGTAAAAGTTGCAGCAGAGGGATGTATAGTGCTATTGAAGGGAGAGGGGAAGAGGAAGGGGGGAGCTCTTCCGCTTTATAACTGCAACGGTAACGAGAGGACTAAGGAGAGCAAACACTAGCACCTAACCACTGTGGACTGGGCATCAATCCAAAGGAAAACTTAGATTTTACTAGAGATGACTGTTAAGATTTTTATCGGCTATATCCTCCTAGAATTAGATTTAAAAGATTCCAAGGCTCTGGCTCGTCAGAAAAAACCATCCGTACTCGTGGACAACAACTTCTCTCGAAGGCTTAAACTCAATTTTGGTACATAAAAGCTATGCGTGTGTCAGTAAACACGCCCTCTGATAAGATAAACAGTATTCGGTTCCATGCTGGGTTCTAATTAAAAAATAGCATAAATGTTCGCGGTGTTGAGTTCTTAAGGTTTGCAAGGTTCAGTCGTAAGATTCGTGCTCCGCTTTTTCGCAATGACACCATCCTAATGTGGACAAATCAGGCATGATAACATTTACTCCTGGGGGTAGGGTAAGGAGGTACATGAGTTGACGTTGCGCGAGGATTGAGACGAATGAAAACTGAAACAGAAAAGGAGATAGTCGCGTCTAATGACGCGCGCAGAAGATTAAAGTTGAAGACGATGAAAGAGGTGCGAGTAAAGATGGGAATAAAGTAAAAGTGCGATGAAAAAAAGGAAGGAGAAAAAAGTGATGCGCATATGTGAAACGGTGTAAAAACTTATGTAAGAAAAAGGTAAAAAACCGCACACATGTACCAGTATGAACACGTCCGTCGGCGTTCAAAACCGCGTAACAATATGGACAATCAGTGGAAGAGACACATGACAATCGAAGAGACGACGCGCCTTCGTTTAGTTGGCGGGGTCTTGAAACATGGAATGTTAGTACACAGTCAGCCGCAAAGATCGTCAGCTTGGCGCGCGCGGGTCAAAACAAGTACTTGTATTGCAGTCCCCAAAGGATCTGTTCCCTCTTCATCTCACTTGCATCCTTAAGATATGGAGAGAGACGACAAAAATCAATCCAGATTTTGTATTTTATACCCTGTTTATTTCTCTTACGCAAATAAGTAAACAAAATAAGTACAATGGAAACTGCTTTAAATTGTGCAAGGCTTTAAGTGAAGTACGCGCTAAAAGGAGACACTAAAATGAACCCATTTACTCCCCAAACTGATAATAAATTATATGAGCTAGAAACGTGATGTTACATAGTATTCTCGGAATGAAGCAACAAAGAAACACATTCTTTTCAGTTGAGAGAATTTGTCCTCAGAACTTAGGAGTTTAATAAAAGTAGCATTAAAACACTTCACACGAAATACACTGACATCATACAAAGCATATTTAGTTAAAACTGTCCCAGCTTGTTTTTAAAATCCTATGTTATATCATATTCAATCATGTGTGAGGTTAACTATTACATTTTATACCAGCATATACCAATAGTAGTTATAAAAATCTGCAAAATTAAGATTGATTTTACAAAGCTTTCCTCTAAAACAGTTCTGATACAGTCTATCTTGAACTTCTGACCACATAACGGGTTCTAATTACAAAGCGCGCTCTGAATACCTTAAAATAAATTCTTAAATCTAAGAAAGATATTATCAGACATCTTCAAATTATACTTCGGTGAATTTTGAACAGGGAATTTTCAAAAACTGAAAGTTTTCTCCTAAAGCCTTGAACCTTTTCAACTAAGGACTAGATTTTGCAATTCTTCATTAACCTTTTACCAAAATAATTCCCGTTGGCAATGGCTTACTTTAATTGCTTCTCTAATTTATGGGCGTAAATATTTTCCTACTAGAGACAACAAATTCTGTCACATACATTAAAAGTCACACCTATGGAAACTTCAGATACAGTGAACTCTGCTTTGCTGTTTTTTTTGTTTTTTGTTTAGATTACATGGACAATTTTAACCTCACTGTCGTGGTTCTTTAAAACGAACAGATACGTGTTTGATAAAATGGACAAATTTTTACCAAAGTCACTTGATTAAAACAGGGTTGTGGCCAGCTTTTTTACCTGTTGTAGGCCTTTTCCGTAAGAAATTTCAATTCTAGTTTCCACATTTGCAACAGCCATATTATAAGTCAAGCAGGCGGAAAACAATTGTAGACCAGGCCTACAGGACTAGAGGCTGGCCACATCCCTAGAAGTAGGTCTAGTGTCTCTAACATATGGTCAGTAGCCCATCATCTCAGATGTTTACTTCTTCAAACTAAGCTTAGAATGGCAATCTTGGCACTGACAGAATTAGATTGTATTAAAATAGATTGAAAAAAAAATAATACTCAATTTTTCTTTTAAAGATAATCTCAATTTGTAATAAAGTAACTTATGATCTAGAAAAGTCTTCCAAGTTTAATTACCATACTGCTGCAAATTTTTCAAATCAAATTTTTGAAGTTAAAATTCCACCCACTTTAGCAAACGACGAACTGTTTCTTTGCTTATCAAAAGCTTAGAGTATAGACGTAATTAAAACCCGGTAGACAAGGTCCTGGTTATGTACAAGAAAAAACATTTAAATTGTTTTTCATACAACTGATTGTAATACATGAATAGAGCAGAGTGTCATTTTGGCGAAAACGGAAACCTCGTATTCACCTTCAACCTCTGTAGGCATTCATAACAGAAGCATTGTTGCATTTCATTCTCTTTGCAAGCATTTAAATTTGTAAAGGTAAGACAAAATAGACAATTCCACTGATCAAAATAAAATGAAATAGTCTGTTTTATTTTTTCGCCAAATTAAAGTTACACGTCTCAAGTTCCATTTAACAGAAAAGTAAAAGTAATAAAAAATAGCCAAAAATTGCCAAAACAGAGAAACATTTAAACCTTCCAAGTTACTGCGTCATTCTTTCTGAGATAAAAAAAATTATTTATGTGATTTTAAATTCAAATTTTATCTTTCCTATGCCATGAAATCAAGACTAACGTCATCTCCAATCAGTAAAAAGGGCGCCCAGTATTTGATATCGCGGAACTCGTCTGATTCTCTGAGGTTTTTCATAGCCAGGTTCAGTGACTCGCTTGCAGGTTTACCTTCTGCAAGGTGTTGATAAAAGCATTTCATGAACTCAAGAGTAACTTTGTCTTCAACCGCCCACAGGGAAACCACAACAGACCGAGCACCAGCCCCCATAAAAGCGCGCGCAATGCCAACCACACCTTCAGCCTTGATCTCGCCCCGACCACTGTAGCAGCAACTAAGTACAACTAGTTTGGCGCGAAGTTGAACATTCATCACATCTCCAATTGTTAAAATGTAATCCTCTTCCGTTGGCATAGTAGATATTCGGTCTGGGTCAGGTGTAAGAGCAATTTCGCCAGTTTCCATACATCCGTGTGCCGCAAAGTGAACTAAGGAAACGGAACTGAGTCTTTTCAACACCTCACGTTTCGTGGCTTCTCTGCCAGTGATTGGCGTGACATTCAGAATTTTTCCGATCATTTCTACCTCTTCTTTAGCACAAGGAAGCTGCTCGAGGAGTTTCTCTCCCTGGCTGTTGGTAACCTCGGCTACCCACGGATCTCCTACAAGTAACGCACCACTGCTTTTGTGATAGTCATCTGGGCAATCGGCAATGAGTCTAAGACTAGTTAACGATGGAGCGAGACGGATTCTGAACGATTCACACAGGTATTTAGAATTACCATCCTTCAATGCAGCGTAAGGAGCGAGCCACAGGGGTCCATCGGGAATAATGAGTAGCTCATCCCCTTGAACCAAGTCAGCCACCGGCTTCATAACGGTATTATACAAAGTGCTCAAGCATTTGTTTTGTTGGATGGAAGCTTGAGGGTTGTCTTCTTTCGTTTCCTGATCCACTTTTGAACGGTCCTCGCTCAAAGCATCCAAAGATCGGTTCTCACATCTCACATTAGAACGAACACCAAGTTGTGTATAGACACCGAGCATGAACGACTCAAAGGACTGACTAGCCCCACTGTTCTCTGAAACAGAACCATTGAGTTTACTTTGTCTTAACTGAACTTGTTTTCCTTCGGACACAACCCAAAGATTGACGTCAGCTCTGTCCATTGCCTGAAAGACAGTGTTTGATGGAACGTTTTTTAAAACTGCTAAATCTTCATCGCTTCCCTTGTACTGACTTGTTCCACCACAAAAACGGGATTCCATAAGGTCGGTGAGAGCTTGGGCTCGTCCTTTATCAGCGGCAAGTAAGGCTTCATCTATATTACCTTGTTTTACGAGAACTCTCCACAAACCCGTATACGCCATTTGATACTGATTTCGAAAATTAACTTTCCATTCATCTTTAGATTTTAGAAGTATTCTCAAGGAATTAAATAAGGTTATGCTAGCTCGGTAAGATTCAACAGCTTTTGGCAGTCGACCCTGCAACTCAAAAACGGGTCCTAATGAACAGTGGGCCATTGCCTCCAAGGATTTGTCTTCGACCTCTTTGGCAATTTTGAGCATTAGCTTGAATGACTTGTTGGCCTTGATCAAATCTCCCTGAGTTCGATACACATTGCCAACATTGCCATAAGCACCACCCTCTCCATGCTTGTCTCCTACTTCTATAGCTATTTTAAGATCTAGGTTGTGGCACTCTATGGCTTTTTTGAACTCACCCAGTCTGTCATAAGCAATGCCAAGATTTCCATAAGTTTTACCCTCCCCATGCTTGTCTCCTACTTCTTTAGCTATTTTAAGATCTAGGTTGTAATACTCTATGGCTTTCTTGAAATCACCCAGACTGTGATAAGCAATGCCAAGATTGCAATAAGCTTTACCCTCCCCATGCTTGTCTCCTACTTCTTTAGCTATTTTAAGATGTAGGTTGTGGTACTCTATGGCTTTTTTGAAATCACCCAGTTTGTCATAAGCAATGCCAAGATTGCCAAAAGCTTTACCCTCCCCATGCTTGTCTCTTACTTCTTTAGCTATTTTAAGATTTAGGTTGTGGTACTCTATGGCTTTTTTGAAATCACCCAGACTGTCATAAGCAATGCCGAGATTGCCAGAAGCGTTACCCTCTCCATGCTTGTTTCCTATTTCTTTAGCTATTTCAAGATGTAGGTTGTGATACTCTATGGCTTTCTTGAAATCACCCAGACTGTGATAAACATTGCCAAGATTGCCATAAGCTTTACCCTCCCCATGCTTGTCTCCTACTTTTTTTTCCATTTTGAGGTGTAGGCTGTGGTACTCTATGGCTTTTTTGAAATCACCCAGTCTGTAATTAGCATTGCCTAGATTGCAATAAGCGGTACTCTCCCCATGCTTGTTTCCTACTTCTTTAACTGTTTTAAGATGTAGGTTGTGGTACTCTATGGCTTTTTTGATATCACCCAGATTGTAATAAGCAATGCCAAGATTGCCATAAGCACTACCCCCTCGATGCTTGTCTCCTACTTCTATAGCTATTTTAAGATCTAGGTTGTGGCACTCTATGGCTATTTTAAACTCACACAGTCTGTCATAAGCAATGCCAAGATTTCCATAAGTTTTACCCTCCCCATGCTTGTCTCCTATTTCTTTAGCTATTTCAAGATGTAGGTTGTAGAATTCTATGGCTTTTTTGAAATCACCCAGACTGTGATAAGCAATGCCAAGATTGCCATAAGCATTACTCTCCCCATGCTTGTTTCCTACTTCTTTAGCTATTTTAAGATGTAGGTTGTGGTACTCTATGGCTTTTTTGAAGTCACCCAGACTGTGATAAGCACTGCCAAGAGTTCCATAGGCTTTACCCTCCCCATGCTTGTCTCCTATTTCTTTAGCTATTTCAAGATGTAGGTTGTAGAACTCTATGGCTTTTTTGAAATCACCCAGTCCGTAATTAGCATTGCCAAGATTGCCATAAGCTTTACCCTCCCCATGCTTGTCTCCTACTTCTTTAGCTATTTTAAGATGTAGGTTGTGGTACTCTATGGCTTTCTTGAAATCACCTAGTCTGTCATAAGCAATGCCAAGATTGCCATAAGCTTTACCCTTCCCATGCTTGTCTCTTACTTCTTTAGCTATTTTAAGATGTAGGTTGTGGTACTCTATGGCTTTTTTGAAATCACCCAGACTGTGATAAGTAATGCCAAGATTGCCATAAGCATTACCCTTCTCATGTTTGTCTCCTACTTCTTTAGCTATTTTTAGATGTAGGTTGTGGTACTCAATGGCTTTTTTGAAATCACCCAGACTGCAATAAACACTGCCAAGATTGCCATAAGCTTTACCCTCCTCACGTTTGTCTCTTACTTCTTTAGCTATTTTAAGATGTAGGTTGTGGTACCCTATAGCTTTTTTGAAATCACCCAGTCTGTAATTAGCATTGCCAAGATTGTGATAAGCGTTACCCTCCTCATGCTTGTTTCCTACTTCTTTAGCTATTTTAAGATGTAGGTTGTGGTACTCTATGGCTTTCTTGAAATCACCCAGACTGCGATAAACCCTGCCAGGATTGCCATAACCTTTACCCTCCCCATGCTTGTCTCCTACTTCTTTGACTACTTTACGAAGTAGGTTGTGGTACTCTAATGCTTTCTTGAAATCACCCAGACTGTGATAAGCATTGCCAAGATTGCCATAGGTGTTACCCTCCCCATGCTTGGCTCCCCAACTATAGAGGTCAATGACTTTCTGGACATCACCTGAACTTGGAACACCATGGTCATAACTAATGTCATCTTTTTCCTCCATGGACTTATCTCCCACTCCTTCCACAGACTGAAGTCTTAATGACAACAAAATCCTATGACTGTTGTCAATCTTTTTTCAATGTTAAGGTTTAAATGTAGAAAAAACCAGTTATGTGCTTGGTTCCCAAGCCTTTGAACAGGAGTGTGGCTAAGGGTGACCTTGTTATGATACAACATTGCTGCTTTTCAAATGCGAATTACTTTGTAATTATGCTCCCTCACTCCAAATCAAAGGCTTGGCAACTAAGTACACAACAGTAAAATGGCCTATTAGGAGGGCTTGCATGAAAGGTAGTTGTTTGATCAACATTCAGTCAATCGATCTACATATCATAAAAAGGTTTCTTCTATGTACAACCTCAAATTTTAACATGAAATATCTAAATATAATCTGTTATTTCCAAAAACTGGGAAGCACTTTCTTGATTTTTAAATTTATGCATCTTTAACTTCAGACTATAACGTTTTACAGCAACTGGAAGAAATGACTCTAAAACACAGGTATGTGTCTTTCAAAGTTGTATTTCTCCATAGGAAAACACGACAAAAGTTTCTGAGTCTCTCAATAGCAGAAAAAAAATATAAAATCAACATAATACATTGTACAGACATTGCCAAGCTTCTTTTTCTGACTTGTTTTAGAGAGATTATCTATCCACATACCATACATACACTGGGTGAATATTAGTCTTTTAACTAAACTCATGTACCAGTTGTGGCATAGTATGACTATTAAGAACAAGTCTCTGTAAGATTCATACATCTTGGGAAATGAAAATTTTCAACCCCGCTTTTCTCTTTTTTTTTTGGATTTTTTTACTTCAAAAAGTGGAAAACTGCTGACATATATGAAAAATATCCATTTCTCGTCTTCTTTGGAGCGACCTATGGAAACTTCACGGAGAAATACAGCGTCACGCCATCGTGATAACGTACATGTTTATGACAAATGACCGGTGTGAGGATAGTTTCGTGTAGATCAGCCGACTTCAACATGTTTCAAATGACATACAGGTATAACAGTGTATCTTCAGAGGACTTCGGATCGTTCAAATTCCCATGAAAGAAGGTGCAGCGCTCTGAATCTTGATGATATGTACACGATTTGAGGTATATGTTTGTAGTTAAGTCGAGTTGTCCTCAATGAAGGTTGATCAATTTTTTTTAAAACATGATAACCAGAGGCGAGATTTCTCTTCGGGATATTGCTCATAAGATAACGTTCTTTCAAGGCCTCGCATGTTTCATTTGTCTGAAACATTTGTTGTTGAGAACATTAGATGTAAACATCGCCAAATTATGCAATATCTGATTTTTGAGCTTCGTTAACGAAGCTCAACCAAAAAGTAGAGGCAGGCCCGCAGAGATTTTTACACATTTAAAAACTAGAATATTATAACCAGCTAGGTGGGTAGTTTCAGTTCCAGAATCGGTGTACTTTTGGAGAAATTCAGATAAACGTTTTCCCTGTTTTACCCGACGACAAAAATGACCGAAACTGTACCGAGATAAATAATCTATTGGTGTGTTCACATTCACTCCCAGGGAAAATTGAATGACGTTTTTGTGAGAAAATGAGGCCCCAGGCCTCGAACAAGCAGTCGTTGTTACCATAGCAACAAGAGTGCTGCAACCTTTAAAAAGGGCATTGTTGTGCATCTCCCCTGAGTGCCTTACTGCGTGCAAAATTTGACGGGGGGTTGAAAATTTTCATTTCCCAAGATGTTTGATTCTTACAGAGACTTGTTCTTAAGTAATGGTTTAGAGGAGTATATCACTAATAAGTCATGAGGTATTAACTCTTCCCAAAGTTTAATCACACACTCTTTAAGGATGAGATGACATTAGTTCCCATTGTAATTAATACCCCTCTTTGCATTTTCTCCCGTAAAACGTCAAATTATGGGATATTTCCACTATACCCACGGTTAAAAATTAAAGATTCCTTCAAAGGATACAGCTAATCCCTTATCACACCAAGTGATTCCTTCTTTAAATCTCTTCAGTTCAACACAGGCAGTGGCTCCTGTAGGCAACAACACAAAGAAGCATATAATTACTGTAGTTCAATTCCAAGAAAAGAATCAGAAACCATTAAAAGCTAAACCATCAAAGACCAGAAGAACCAAAAAAACAGAAAACAGAAATATACCAAATGGAAAAGAATAAACAGGCCCTATTAGGTTTCTGTTAGATTAGCTTTTGATGATTGAACTTCTAAGAAAATTTAAATTGGGACTAACAATTCCCACAAAATCAGTAAGAGATAGAGATGGAATAAAAGACATGCAATAGCACTTGAAGTTGAGTTATAACTGATGAATGAGGAAAATTTTCCTTACAATTTTGAGTTAAGTTAAGTCCTTACTTCTTTTCAGCTACTGTAGATATAGTGACTAAACATATCTAACACCACTTAACCTCACTTATTGCGAAAAAGGGAACTAAAATACTGATGCTGAAATTTGCTTTGCATTTCACATTGAGTTCTTCATTCAACTAAAAATAATATTCTCATCATAATAGAAAGTCATGGCACAGCAGCCAAGAGCTTGATTCAAATGTACATCAGGGTGGTCTTGACCTCTTGATTAAAGTCAATTGAGACAAGATTTAACTTCATTTAACCTTGGAGTGTTGAGTTCTTTTTTATATTATTATAGCACAGCTAACATACATGTATCTAACCTCTCACAATTGCCTTGAGGAAAGTTGGATTTAACTCAACGGCTGCTTCTGCATCCCTTAGTGAATTCTGGTGATTTCCTGTTTTTAAAATAAATATCTCTGATTAGCTGTACATATGGCAAATCATACAACCACCATTACATTAATTTTAGGAAGAACTTGTGATGCTTTTTGATATCTGGGGCAATAGGCTGCTTGTTTGTATGTTTGAGAAGCCAAGATAAGGCACATATATTTTTCCAGATAATTCCTCTTTGGGCATACATACATACACGTAAGTATCACTTTTTCAGAAAACTATTACCGACAACCCTTAGCTTCACAAGAGAAAAAAAGAATGCATATTGAAGCTCTCATCATCTTACCAAGTTTAAAATGTGCAATAGCCCTGTTGTTGTACAGTTTGGCCTTCAGTTCTTTCTCATTGCAGTTCATTTTAATTCCTTTGCTGTAAAAATGAATAGCACTGATGAAATCTCCTTTCTTGAAGGCCTCATTACCCTCATTCCTATAAACATCAGCTGTGGCTGCAAAAGAAAAAATAAAAATAACTTAATATGTCAAAGTCTGTTGTAGTTAATTAGAGTATAAGCAGAGCTGCCAAAATCTGGAGATTTAAAATCTGCAGATTTTTCCTTTTGTGCCAGCTGCCACTTTTGCACTTGCCTTACTTGACTCATCCCCTGAAAACCTTTGATGATGTCTGTTATTTGTCCCCTCACAGGACAAACCCCGCTCAGTTAATTCATGAAAGACTTTTTTTGGTTGAGAGACAACCAATCAGACTCAGTTGCTGTTGTGGTTATCATTTAGAAGAAAGAAAGTGTAATCTCTACTTAAAAACAACCTTGGTGGAATCAAGAAAATAACAATAAGAACCCCAAGATAACCTTGATAATAAAATTGGAAGTGGGAAATCTGGAGTTGAAATGTTATGTTTCTTTGAGGAATTGACCCAAACCTCTTTTATCTTGAAGGTTTGATGACCCATTATGGGAAACCTAGAGTTTCATTCTGTTTCTGTGATCCACTCTCTGATAATCAGAAAGAGTGGTATAAAGTAAAAGAGTCTACTGCTTTAATTACATTTAGATTAAGTTAATGAGTCAATAAGATCCAAATGTTGCAATCATAAAAACCAGAAGCAGTATTCCCTACAGACAAATAATTATGATATAAATGATAAGAATGATATTAAGAAGATGAGATTAATATTTATGATGATGCTAATAATTTGGGTGACAACAGTGGTAATAATTAATGATGGGCATTTAAACTTTTGGAGATCGATTTCCAAAAATTCCTATCCCCTTGGGCAAAATATGTGTTCAAATGCCCCTACCAATTTTTATGAAAAAAGTAAAATAATTAGCAACTGTGACTTTCAACACATTGACAAAACTTTAAAACCTAGACCCTGTGCACTTTTTTCTTTTCAGAGCCATTTGTTAGTGAAAGTGCACTAACTACCTTAAACACCTCCACATTCAATGAAATATAATATGTGCATTCTAATGGAAAGTCTCAACACTTCTGGTTCAAATTCCCCAAGGTCAGTCAGGCAATGTTCAATCTCCCCCCCCCCCCCCCTTTGGCTTGGATGATGATCAAAAGCCTGTTGTTAGAGGAGAAGGGAGGGGATGTTGAAGCTTTCAAATTCACTGCTGCATTATAAGGGGGAAGATGATGATGATGATGATGGCACTTACAAAATGGATGTTATATGATAATCAAATAAAGTCTTTACTTATTATAATTTTGTGTACTTGCTTTGAACTTTTAGAAAAGCAAATGTCAAAGATTTCTGTGTCAAAGATCCCCACAAAGGACAGCATATTGTAATCATAGAAGAGAGTCATGACGGGCCAAATACCCTTTAAAGTGGCCCCCCCCCTCTGGCTTAGATGATAATAAGAAGAAAAATTAAGCCTGTTGCTGGAGGAGAAGGGAGGGATCGATGTTGAAGCTTTCAAATTCACTGCTGCATTATAATGGAAAGATGATGATGATGGTATTTACAAATTGGATTTTAAATGATGATCAAATAAAGTTTTTATGGATGATAACTTTGTGTACTTGGTTTGAACTTTTAGAGAAGGAAATAACAAAGGTTTCTGTGTCATAGATCCTCTCAATGAACAGCATATTGTAATCATAGCAGAGAGTCATGACTGGTCAAATATCCTTAAAGTGGTCATACAGTACATATACTGTTCTCCACATCTGCTTACTTTATTGAAACTGGTGGAATAGAAAGAGTTCAAGCCATAACTGAAGCCGAAGTTGAACATAGCTCACCTTGTAAAGTGTCCTCGTCAAACTCTGGTGCATTTTCCTTTTCAAGTAAGTCTTCATTTTCACATGGCACTTTAACTGGACTTCTTGCTGTAGCCATAGAAACTGTAAGAAAATGCTTCTTCCAAAGAGTTGCTGTTTTAAGTTATCCTGGCCTGAAGAAAAGATGGTTGCAAAATGGTGTTAAACATTAGCTCAACATATTACCAAGTAGCAAAATAAATGTGTTTTCCCTTCTGAGAATGAAGGGATACACACAAAATCACAAGTCAGTTAACATTAGTGGCATACAAACAATTAAGCAGCAAAAGAACAAAAGATGCATATACTGAAGAGAACAAGCATTAATGTTTAAGTCAGTGAACAGTACTTCACTTCTTATTACAATAAATTTCAAGATTTATAAAATATATTCCCAGTTGACTGAGATAAATCGGGAAAAAATCATCATCTTTGTGCTGCAAGTTCATATAATTTGTAACGGCAGCAATTTAAATTATTTAAACTAAGAGGCTGTAGGTAGTTAGGTAAAGTCTGCATTGGAGCAGTGGCCTCAGTCCAGGCCCTGAGCCTATAATCCTGGTTTCCTCAAATGAAGCCACTAGGAGTATTACCACTATTCCCCCCTTGACGGGATACCAGTCCATCCCATGGTTACCCCACACCCTTCCCCCCTGGCATTTCATCAGGCTTCCCTAACTAATTTCTGCTTCCTATTTAAACTCCTGGGTGGAGAGGGGCACTGTACACCCATTGTTCAGATGGGGGTTGGCTCAACGAGTATGCTTATTGCAGGAAAAACACTGAAATGCATACCCTAATGCATGATTACTTGGGCTACACAGGTAGGCTGGGTCTAAGTTTTGGTTTTCTATCTAATATCTATCTATCTATCTCACCAATGTTGAGAGTGTGAAAGCCTGCATTGCTTGACGGTCTGCGGTATTCCTCAACAAGCATGAAAGCTAGGCAACTGTGAAAATGAGGTGGCTGACAACAAAACAAGTGACTTGGTTTGCTCTTCACATATATATATATATATATATATATATATATATATATATATCATCATACCTATACATTACCTTCAAGGTTTAAAGCTCTGTTTATGTTTATGCTGTTGTGTTGTGATCCTGCACAAATATGATTAACCTATACCTTCAAGCATTTAACACTTGGTTAATGTTCATGCTGTCATGATATGTATAATTCATGACTGGGTAAACATGTCAATTGAAATTTATATTGATAAAAAAACCCTGCACAAATATGAGTAAACTATACCACAAAGCCAAACATTTTAGTTTGTAATGTTTATGCTGTAATAATATGTATAGTTAATGATTGAACTTGTTATCAACATCTCATTTGAAATTCATATAAATAAGAAAATCCTGCACAAATTTGAGTGAAGTGTACCATCAAGCATTTGAACTCGGTTAATGTTTATATGCTGTTACAATGATCTTTTTTAACATTTCAATAAAGCTTGAGCGATTGACATTTGTTGATTGACTATTTCAACTCTATTTTATTTTCAGCTTTGGGTATCCCCGATCCAGGGTTTTTGTAATGATTAGGATTCCTAGAAAACATTTAGCATGTGCAATACTGGGGGGAATTTAGTTTTACAAGGATTAGTGGGAGAACTCGAAACAAACTTAGTATACAGGATATTTGACTTAAGTTCACCTAATGAACCCTTGATTTCCATCTCCTTTCAATTAGTATACCAGTAAATCCTAATGTTCATTGGAAGAGGGTAAAAGTTATGCCATGTCAGGTAAAAAATGTGAAAAAAAGCAATGGATATTCACGTTTATGAACTTAAGGTGAATTTGCCAATTTTGGTATATAGTTCTGCAGATAGATAATATGTTTCAAACATTTCTTTTCCATCTGATAACAAAGGCCACATACACTTTCTCAAGCTTGAATTTTGGGAGATATGCATGATACTTAAAGCTCTCACCAAATGGAGCCTCTTGGAATTCTTTTTAAGTGTTTAACCCTTTAACACCCAGCCAAGATCTCATTAACAATTCTCCTTACTGTCTGCCATACAATATTTATGATGCTATTTCTGAGAATTTGGTACTGGATCAACTAGAAAATCCTTAAACTTATATTTTTTTTATTCTCATCACCTGTCTGATTGATATTGTATTGATATTGTAAGGAGAAATTCTATCTTGGTCACTCATGGGAGTTACAGGGTGAAATGATTGCTTGTATTTCCAAGGTCCTCATGCAAGGATATTCTTTCTGTGTCACACAAACATAGCCCGAGTAAACCCTTATAGGCATCTAGTTTATTTTGAAATGGATTTAATAACTGCATGTACACAGGTGTTTGTGGTTTACCTGTACACGTGAACAACAAATTGTTTTTCCAACCCCCTCATGGTTCTATGTTTTGTGCACAAAATTGATTTTTTTTTACTGCTTACATTAATTCTGTTGCTAATCAAGGCTGGTTGTTTTTCAAATATCATATAATCCTTGCTGGCTGACCTCGTGTACAAAAACAAGGAAATCAATGGTTTGGGAATTCAGAATAGCCTAAGATACATGTAAAGTGTAGATTATTTTTGCAAAAGCCAGTACTAACTGACTAACTGGTGGGGCGGAGGGCCTTACTAGAGAATAATTATTGGCCCAAGGTTGTGTCAGTGTAGAAATGACATATTTAGTGCCAATATTCCCAAGTATGGCTCAAGAAAGCAAGGTATGCACTTAAATGTCACTTGGACTAAATTTGTTTATTTTGAAGTTTCTGGCTTCCATGTAAAAAACACATGTTTTATGATTGTTCATAAGGTGCGATGATGGTCCTTTTGGCAAAATCCTGACCAAGTAAGAACCAATCAGAAGTCTTGAATTTACCCCTAGACTAACCTTGCCATTGTGATAACATAAATTATCACCAGACACATACTTGGATGTGTGCATCCAATAATAAGTATACCAGTTTTGATAAAAAGAAAAAAAAATTGATCAGAAACATTTAAAAGATGTGATTATTGATTAATCATATATTGATTAGCAGATGACAAAAGGTAAAAATTTACTCAGATACTAATCAATCACTCTAAATATGCAATCATTACCAGTTGGTGAATTGGATTCCTACCGGAAACAGTAAATTGAAAGGAAGCTTGCAATAAATCACTAGCTGGCATTTGTAGAAAAATTATTTAGTCTAAATATTTAACAAGGAAATCATTATAACAGCACAGTTTGGAAGGAGAATCTGAATAGTCTATCAAAAAGAAAAACATTTCTTTCAAACTATAAAATAATAAACATCAACACATGAAATACCCTGGAAATGTTTATCGCTTTTTGATCAAATGCATCGTAAATACGAAAGCAAATTAAGTAAATACATATATAAGCCCGACATGAAAGCTAGAGCAAAACACGATTGTGATCGAGGATGTGCAACATGACATGCAAACGAAACTGAAAGTGTTTCGATCATCAGCGCTTGCACTAAATTAAATCGATAATTTGGATGCTACTTTAACTCTCACGAGTAACTTATTTTGTCCAAGGTAAATTCCAAGTATTGCCTGCGAATTTTAGTGAATTCGACAGCTGTAACTTGTTCGAACAAGCTAAACTTAAGTAGCTTATAAGTAACACGAAGCGGCAAAGCAATTAGTACACGCCAGAATCAATAAAAGTTAGCAATCCTCGTCAGTTAACTGCAGGAACGTCTTTCATTGCCGGAAATCAGAGGAAATTAGGACAGATTAAGAACACGTGAAAGAGAAAATGTTAACTGAGAAACTTGGAATAAAAGTATTTACCTTAAATTATGTTCAGAAATCTGATACAAACATGCGTTCTTACCTCTGTCGCGGAAATGGAAGCCACATTTGACTGTTTTACGACCTTGCCTCCTCAATTCCACGTGGAAATGTTTCGTGGCTTGTCGTGAAAATGAAAGGGGGAGTCCCTTGGCCCATAAGTCTGTGCAAGCTTGAAGCCGGAAGTGCTTTAGCTGAAATTGAAAGAAGAGCCCGTTTGGATTTGTGACCTAGGCCTGTAGTTTGGCCAAATTATTGCTTTGAGTTTAAAAAAGCTGTTTCTTTCATGCATCGCACAGTGTCAGTATTGAAAAATGTTAAAAACAACGTAACGAATGTTATAACTTGATTACATGGAAATGAAAGCCGGAAACGTGAATTTCTAATCGACACTGAACACTAAAAAAAATATCGATCTACATCATGAAGAACTCCCGGAAAGGTTTAAAGATAATTTATTTGCAATATATTTGCAATACGACGAGAACAAACTCCTAAAAACTGACTATAAAACGTGTTCATAGACGTAAGAATAAAATATTTCTCGTGCGTTTCTTGTGTTCCTCCAACGTCGACTATATTATTCCATCTCGCTTTTACATGTTCTCATTAGCAATCTTAACATAACACATGCGAGGGAAGTCTTTCTAATATTAGAAACAAATTCCTCTCGGAATGTATTCATAGAAATTTTGTGATTGCATATCCTTTAGAGGACTTTGGAGCCAAGAGGGTTTGTGACACTGCACTGATTCAGGGGATACATTTCCAGTCTTTTTTTTCTAAAATGATTTTTTAAATTTTCTTTAATTGGCGGTGACATACCTGAGTATTTTTAAGCGTTGTGTCGTATTTTTACTCGCTACTCCCTACGACTTCTTCAAAGCAGAAACAATGGGTGAAAATACCAAGCAATACTACACACCAAAAAGTCTCATAAGCTGTTTATGATCCAACTGCTTTTATTTCAATCCCTAAAACCTTACTCATTTCTCATAAGGCGGGAAAATTAAAGCGGTTAAAGAAGCGCAAATCGCCTAAACATATTTCTTACAGTAAAAAAATAACCAACTGTGCACATGTGGTATGTATATTCGCGTCCTTTGAAATTACTTTGTGCTATACTTTGCGATCAGCTATACTTTGTATGATTATATCTCATTTTTACATGTTTCCTTATCCCTCTACATACTAAGCTTAAAAGGTAAGTCTTAGAAACCCCATCAACAAGCATTTCTCGTGTTCGAAATAAGAGAAAACGAGTGGTTCCGAGGACAAGAGTGGGTACCCTGTGATTTCCCTTTCCTTTCTCACTCTAAAGGGATGTGGTTACAAAGGATGTTCCTGTCGTCGGTGAAAAGCTTTTCCCAAAAGAAACTCATTAAGGAAATTCTTAAAGTGGTGGTCCCAAAAACTGCCAAAAGTGTGTTTATAGTATCGATATCCAAGGAGTTTTTAGCTGTATATTCTGTATGCATCTCGTGGATTTTCACACTCTTAGCCTAAAGGGTAGCCATAATATTGATAAAGGTAACAACGAAAAATACGAACACCGTTATTTTGTAAATAACAAATACATAAATGGGATAATTTTGCTTCAGGAAGTTTAACCTGGTGTAATTTAGAAATCCTACAGCTAAAGTTCTGAGAATATAACTTACTATCAAAATTATAGAAAAATTCAAAAAAATTATGAAAATGTGCGACCCCTTTCTTGTTAATTAACTCAGTTCAAAATGCTACCCCATCATAGTCAACTCGGTCGTGAAAATGCCACTCTATCCAGCGGATCATCCCCATCAGCCTATTATTAAGAAGTACACCCCACGGGGTGGTCATATATGCTGTTTTGCCTTTGCTATGATCTATGTACAGCAGGAATACACAGTGCATGTTCTTGTGGCAAAGTAACTGAAGCTTGAAGTGAACCTTTCATCCTGTGAAATTTCTTTCTCAGCTGTTTCAACGTCCACAATTGGAACTTCAGTTAAAGTCTTCTCCATAGCCACTAAAGATGTGAAAAAATGTTTGTTATTAAATTTCTGTTTTAAAACTATCATGTAAAAAGTGACTACAAAATATACTAGTAAACATCAGCTCAACGGGGCTTGAATTACAAAATAATATATACGATCTCGACAATTGGGGTTAAAAAAGCAACATTAGAGGTGATGAGATTCATAAATCTCACATGAAATGTTTGTTGGATCAAAGTTGGGATCATGCGATATAACTTTTGCCAATTTAGAGCAGCTAATCGTTAACTGTGTCACGCAACTATTCCAAAAATGAAAAAAATTTGGGTTTTGTAATTGCAGATATCTCCAATGGGCAACTTTGCATGTCGACAAACATGCCATCACAGCAAAGAGCTATCTTAGCAATACGTTTTTGGGTAAAAAAAGTTTTGGGCTCTGTAAAAGATTTGTGATCACGCGACTCTGAAATGCGTGACCTTTGACGTTAATTTATGCAATATTTGGTTATAAACTGATGTTTATTCTCTCAATTTCAATTTGAGAATGGGATCGCCGACGCTAGTTTTTGTGGTACTTATGTCTAAAAACAACAGATGTATAGCTGCCGAGCTAAGGAGTCACTTATCATAGAATTTCTGTGACGCTGACACTCCACTCGGCCTGTACGCCATGACCTTGACCTAAATATTTTCCGTCCCACTCATCCCTCCCACTCAGTTCCATTCTACCATCTCCGAGAAAATTCTGCTTAACGTTAGACTAAAAAAAACATATCGTATAACTTTTTGCGTCCTTTCTACAATGCCGAACCTTAATAAGCTTACTCGAATCAGAATCTCACAGTACGACTTCAGCGAAATAACGCCGGTGACACGGAGGCTGCGATTGAATTGTATGGAGAGGAAGGAGGAATGAAAGAGTGCTACGCCACTGACGCAGAAATTCAAGACTCTTTCCAAAATATAAAGAAGCGCAGCAAGGCTGGCATTCAAGTTTTGAACAACTTATCCGTCGAGTCTGATTGCTTCAAAAGCAAAACAATGTGGGCAAGTTTCTATGACTGGGAAAGCTTCAGATATATGGTTCTACACAAGGTGCGTAAACGTTTACCAAGAATTCAAAAGTCTTGAGAAACGTCTCGATGTTGGGCGCCACTTAACCGAGAAAAGTGGGCAGAAACCCGTAAAATTATGTGCTAGATGCAACCGTTGGTAGTACTCCGTCAACAAATTTATAATCTCTTGCAACAACAGAATCGACTGCAGCATCAGCCAACATTCCATCTTTGAAGGGGCTTGAGCTTTGAAGAAGGAGGAAAATCTACCAGATTTTCTCAACGAGTGAGAAAATTTGCACAGGAGATATTTTTACAAGGAGAAGAAACCGGTGACGATGCAAATCCAGTTGATGTTGCACCCAAAATGAAGTGTCTAAGCAAATGGACACAAATAGTTAATCAGGGGGGAATGACTTTCAGTTGTTCAAATTGCTAGATATTTCAGGAAGCTAGCAGCCCTTAATAAGGCCGATCTTCTGAATAGAGTTGTAAGTGCCTCCCTGAAGAATGAATATACGATCAATACGTCAACAACGCAGAAGCGATGGAGACGAGATTTCAAATAAGGAAGAGAACTAGAAACTTTTTACTGGTACAAAGATAATTGTAAATGTGACCGTCAGATAATCTTCTTGTGAGTAACTCATAAAATCTTTGGCTTCAGATGGCGGCGTTTTATACTTTGGGCCTAATTCACCTTCGCTCGTAAGCTTTCTTGTTTCCGGTGACAATTTTCCATGATCCGCCATTTGTAATAAAATACAATTATTCATCTGTCGATCATTTATTTCAAGAACATTTGGTAAGGATCCAAAAATAATTGTTTCACTTTACATAGCAGGCAAAAATTTCAAAGCGTTTGAGGAAAGGCGTCCATTGCGTTCAAACCATAACGGTCAAGGCATTCGAGGCAAGGCGTTAGTAGTCAATTTTGTGGTAAGTTCGACCTTTGATAACTGATCTGCTGTATAACCTCTCCGCTATCATATCAATTTTGTAGTGTTTATGAATAGTTATGCCTAAACACCGAACCTCGTGGGGTCGATTGTTTACCTAACGATTAGAAATTAAAAGCTATATAGTTGTGAAGTGTAGCCGATTGAAAATAGATCACGTCTACGTCTTAATCATTATATTTATATTCCGACGGGAAAGTAAGAGCTGTTCTTGAGAAAGAATTTTTTAAGGCCAATCGACGCAGTATGTGAAGTGTAGCCGATTGAAAATAGATCACGTCTACATATTAATCATTATATTTATATTCCGACGAGAAAGTAAGAGCTGTTCTTGTGAACGAGATTTTTCAAGGCCGATGGACGCGGTATACGACTCTTTAGTGAATAAACCCGATCAGCTCACGATAAATTATGATAGATATTTCTTGAGATCTGCCATCGGATTGAAGTCGAAACTTGTTTTGTTTGTATGTGTGTGCGAGCCTCTATTTTTTTTCTGAGAGAAATGAAGATAGAATTTTTTTACCTTGCACTGGCAATTTGAATATTTTTCGTGAGGAAAGTTTTAATTCAGGTTGTTGTGTTTGGTTTTATTAGTCATACGCCAATGATTTGGACACAAAACAAGGGATAATTACTCCTTGCTTTGTTATGCATCTAAGAATAGCTAATTAAGAACAGTTCTTTTCCTGATTACTGAGAATCAGAATGTGTTGGACTGAAATCCGATATAATATTTAAGAAAGATGTTATTAAGAACTAACGAACTCGGAAATTGCGGAAGATTTAATGCTTCGAGGTTGTTCCATTTCAACTTTTTCAAATAATTCTAGTTTCATGATCACTGATCTATTTAATGATTTTATCTCACACAAACTAAATTTATTCATCCTTGCATGACAGGGAAGGTTTTATTTCAGTTTCTAACGTTTGGTTTCCTCAGTCATGCGATCAGAATACTAATCAAGACTTGCGCGCGTTTGTTTGTTTTTATTTTTCCATATGTAAGCGGGTAATAAACTAATTTACAGCCTTCTTTTCGCTTTTCCTTAGCATTTCGTGGTTAAAGATTAAAAGATTTAAACAATCTAACAAACTGGTGAAAATGTACTTTTAAACAATTTGACTTCGGCTTG